CTCTTTTTTTAGTTTCATCTTCTTTCCCTTTTCTTTGTCCTCTTCCTTCTTGCACATCCCGGTAATTATTTTCCTTTTTTGCTTTATATTTTTGTGTTTTATGTTGTTATTGATTAAATATTGATAATGTGGTGATTTGAAAGCAAACATGGTAGTGGAAGACAATATGAAAATGATGTTATAGAAACAAAGAAATGCGAGAAGAGAAAGTGCACTAGTACAGAATATACATTTTTCGTCGGTTATTTTAGGGGTTTTACGTCAGAAAAACCTCCGACGTCGAAGCGGGAGATGTAAATTTACGTCTGTTTTCGCACCCTGACGTAAATTTACGTCGGACATTACAAGGTCTGACGTAAAAAGTTGTAAAAAAATTTTAAAAAAAGAAAAATGACCGCAAGCAGAACGGGCCGTTCTGGTTGGAGAACGGCCCGTTCTCCAAGCAGATTGGCCCGTTTTGCATGGAGAACGGCACGTTCTGCATGGAGAATGGCCCGTTCTTCAACCAGAACGGCCCGTGCTGCAACCTGGACTAGGCCACTTCCCTCTCCAGCTTCAAAAACTCAGAATGCACAAAGAAAGTAGTAAGTAGAAGAAGATGGATTACCTTAAAGACCCTCACGAGGACAAATGCAACCGCCCCAGAAAACCCCATGTGGATCATGGTGAGCGTAATGGGGAGGGGAAAGTTGAAGTATTTGGGCGAAAGAACCCACTGCCCCAAGACATGAAAAAATCCATTTTTTTCAGTGAGAAAACATTGTCAAGTGAAGAAAACGAAGAAAAGGGGAAATGGGTACCTTGTTGTACAAAATGACGCCGGAAGAGAGCAAGATGTAGATGAACAAGTAGACATAAGTGAGGAAGAGCCACGATTTGAGGAGGAGGCGGAGGGATTTCTCGCTGGGTTCCATTGCACAACGCGCGGGAGATGAGTTTGTGTTTAAATTTTTGAAATCTCCATTTCGTGAACTTCCTTTTAATTAATGGGCGTGAATTATTTACGTCGGCCCTAGTAGGGTCCGACGTAAATTTTAACATCTATGTCGGACACAATGCATAGCCGACGTAGATGTTAAAATTTACGTTGGACCCTAGGAGGTTCGACGTAAATAATTTAATTAAATTTACGAACCATGCCACCGCGTTTTTATTACGTCGGGGGTTTGTATGTCCGACGTAAAATGAGTGACGTAGTATCCTAATTTTCCACTAGTGGTGGTGGCAATGAAATGCAAAACACAATGATGGCAAAATGCAAAGATGTGAGAACAAGAGGAAAAAAGTCTGATGATAGAATGTGATGATATGCGACAACAAAAGGGAAAAAGTGTGATGGCGAAACGTAAAGAGATGAAACAATAAAAATAGAGCATGACAACAAAATGCGAAAAGAGAGAAAAAAAGACAATAAAGAAGCAATTATTAACCCAAAAATAACTTTTTATGTCAATTATTTTTATAACCAACATAAAAAGTCAAGACTTTCTATATTTTCGAGATCTATGACGAGTTTATAGTCGACATAAAAAGTTTTTTTACCCATCATTAAAAGTGTCAAACATGCTAGTAAAAAAAAATTAGATCAATCATCAAATCGATCAAGATATTGGGTCACATGACAAATCGATGAGTCAGTAGTTAAACCACATAACTTGATATTTATTAATTTTTTTTAAAAAAATGTTTACACCATATACGTTTAATACCTATATATTTTTATAAATTTTAATTATAGTTAATATAATATCGACAGAACAATAAAATTATAGACTAGTTGAATTAAATAAATTAATATATAATTTTATACAACACATTGTATATAAATAAAAAATGGTTACTACTTCCTTAACTTATTGGTTATTAGTTGCTTAAATATGCCTTGAGACCATTATTCGAATCATCATGGATATATTATTTTGACATAAATTTGTCGTGTAATTCACTACAAATTATATTTAAATTTAAAATTTAAGTGCATCCCAAATTTTGTTTCAATTCAAATTTGAAGTTTAGCTTTCTAAGTATATGATTGCACAATTTGACAACTGACAAGTTAATGGGCTCAAAAGTGTTAGATGTAAGTGTGTTTGGATAATGTGAAAAAAAAATGATCAAAGTTGACTCTGATCCAAGTTGAGTGACCGATTTTAATCGATTTAATAACAAGTTATCCAAGTTTCAGCAGGTTAAGTGTATTTCCAATCTAAATGTAGGACCAAATTGGACATATAAGACCGGGTTCCGATTAATTCGATCAGATCGACAATGGTCCGAGTTTTAAAACATTGAAAAAGTAATAGAGATGTATTATTTATGGTGGAAGATGTAGTTAACAAAAGCAATGTTAAATTCAACAATTATGATTCTTTTTTTTATTATTATTTTTTATTTATAGCAAACTGGTCCATTTAGTTTTTAAAAGTTAAATTTTAAAAAAGGAAATAAAAAGTTTGTCAAAATAAGTTGAGACTGAAAACAAATATTGGCTCAAATTAAGTTCCAAATCATTCTAATTCACCTATTCAACTTGTAACTCACCCAACACCCGACCCATCCAAATTGATGTACATTGTGGTTGAAAAACCTTAAAAAAAAAATTGTTTGCAGGTTCGTTCATATTAGACTTTTTAGACCCAAAATCTAACCAATGTTTAACCCTAATACATGTTATTGGTTAGATCCCTACTCATATATTGACGATTAACTTTCTGATGTATTCATAATTTGGTCTTTGTATACGTAACACATTCTTAATTTAGTTTCCTTACTTGTAGTAATTTAGCTTTTATATACAGATACCAAATTAATTATGCACTATATATATGTATAGAAACAAATTAAAATTTTGTAATAGAGTTAATAGTGATAAAGACCAAACAAGTGATTACACGTATAAAAGATTAATTTAATAAATTTTTATATATAAAAATTAAATTGATAATAATGAGATTAAATTATATGCTTTAACTTACATATTATTTGTTGGAAAATAATAGATGATATGAATAGATATTACGAACAATTTGATGAAAATTGAGTTGTACTAATCTTAATTTGAAAATGATAATTAGTAAGAAATATATATACAAAAGTTAGAGTAAGGGAGTTGAGCTCTAAACTATTATTTTTTGGCTTAATTGTGTTTTTGATCCCTCAAGTATTACAATTGTGCAATTTTGATCCTCAAGGTTTTAATTGGGTAATTTTAGTCCTTAAAAGATTATAATTGTGTGATTTTAGCCCCTTAATTTTTAATTGAACAATTTTAGTCTCTCAACTATTATAATTGTGTAATTTTAGTCTTTTCCATTAAAAATTTAGTAATTTTAGAATTTATATATATATATATATATATATAATATTATACAATTGTTTGCTTATTTAATTTAACATATATTATAATTTTTGTTAATCAAATGATATATATTTATTATTACTAAATAAATAAAATTTATATATTATTAGTATTTTAATATTA